GACTGCGACTGCGACTGCGACTGAATACTTCTATGGCTAGGATTATGACTACGACTACGACTACCACCACAACAGCAATACCAGCAGCAACAACAACGACGACCATTGCCACTACTGCCACCCACCACGACCAGGACTACTACCATTACTGCCACCACCCACCCAACACCACCCAAACCACAAGCACGACGACTGCTCCTGCTGCTACTAGGACAAATTGAGTCGGCATCCTCGTATTCGTCGCAGGTGGAGAAACGATATGTTGATATCTACGAGGAATGTGTAGTTTGGACGGCTTCTTTACTACGATTTCCGATCTGATTTTTCGATCCCGCTGAAGGTCTGATTCCGAAGTGGCCTGGCCAAAGAGATGGATAGTACTGGGGAAGTCCGGAGAGTCGGTTCGATGTTTCGTAGAAAGGTTTGGGGGTCGGTGTTCAAAATTTGGTGTTTGGGCCTAGGTGTTTCATGGTCTAGCACCAGGGCGCCAGGGTATTTCCCATCGGAGTTCAGGTGTTTCTTTTCGGGTCTGCGGTTTGGTTTGAGGGTCGTCCCTGCCCCGCCATCCCGCAGCTGGCGCAGCAACGGAAATGCACGCCAAGACCATATGCAAGATAAACATGCAATGCACTGCCCTGAATGTAAAACCTCTTGGGTCGGGGCCTAACTTGGAACAAGCCGCTTGTCGGGTCAAGTGTAGTCTGCCTCCGAAGATCTGTGGCACCTGGTCGAGCAGTGGCGATCCCTCTAAAGCCCTTTGCAACTTTCTACACAAAAAAACATCCGATTACGTTAAACTCTGAAAACAAAGCGCATAAACACCTCCAGACACCACACAAAGCCTAATTGGCCCGAAACGGTTTCAACGCCATTTAGGCACCCGTTAAGCCCTAAACCCGAGCACAACCCTAAACTGCTCTGAGCAGCGACTCCCAAGGCCGTTCCAGAGTCCCCGACGAGCCAAATGGAGGAGTTCATGCAGCCTGCCCGCAGTGCGCCTGATCTTTCCTAAGCTGGCATGGAAGCCCAAATGGCTTGAAAGTTATCAGGACAGGAGTCTACCATGTCTGTCAGGGCTTGAGATTCCTTATACTTATAAGCTCTTGCAGCGGAGACGCAAGACGGGGAGGTAGCGATTCCTTGAAAGGGCACCTCCAAAAGAGATCCCCCAAGCCCCAACCAAAGCCGACTTGCGGCTCCTCGTCTTCGCTCTTCGCCAGGTGGAATACCTAGCCCGAAGGTTCCTTTGCCTTTGGGGCATGAAGCCCCAAACCCAAAACCGTAAACCCAAAACCAGGCTCCTCGTCTTCGCTCTTCGCTAGGTGGAATACCTAACCCTAAACCCTAAACCCTAAACCCAACTAACCAGGCAGGTGGAAAAGAGGTGTCAAAAAAAAAACCCTAAACCCTAAACCCCAGGTGGAATAGCCGGCCCTGCCGGGGCAATGCGTTGCATAGGGCCGCCCTGGAGAACGACCTCGAGGCTGCCGAGGCCGGAGGGCTTCGGGGCTTAAAAAAAAAGTGGCCTTATTAATTACCTATACTATTTTAGGCGGCTCCTTATTATCATTATTATCATTATTGTTATTACTATTATTATTATTATCATTATTATTGTGATTATTTATTCTTTTTATTATAGTATAACGGGCCCCAAAACCTTGTTCTAATTATTGAGGCCCCTACATTAGGGACTTTGGCTTGAAGGTTCAAGGCTCAAGGTTTGAGGTTGACTCATTTTGAGGCTTCGGGGTGCAGGGAGGGGAGGTTTCTGGTGCGAGGGTTCGGGGTTACGGTGTCGAGTTGGGGTTGTAGATTCGGTGGCTACGGTTCAGGCGTGCTTTGCCCTCCTTGTGCAAGCTGGACAAGGGCCCATCATGAACCACTTTGCGTTTAAAGATCTGTTTTTGGGGTGCAATGTGAGTTTCCACAATCAGAGAACTTGGTAAGTAGGTTCTCTTGGGCTGGTGTTGGGTTTGCAGAAGGCTCTGCATGTTTCTACAGAAGCCTAGGTGTCGTGAGTTTGTAATATTCGACCGCAGGGGCTGTAGGATTACAGTGGTTTCAGCTGGGGATTTCAGGATGTGGGTTGAGCATCTTTGGCTTGAGGATTAATGTAGGGCCTTAATCATCAGAAAGGTTTGGGGTATATTATACTATAAATATAATAAGGAACCCCAAAACCCTATTCTAATTATTAAGGCCCCGACATTACAGACGTTCTAACTGCTTTGCGGCAACAGGGTCTAGGGCGCAGTACGTTGACTGCGTCTGATAGGACTGCCTTCGCCAAAGTCTTCTTGCTCTAAGCAGAGCGTTTGGGGCTTGTGGTTTATTTTGTGCAGGGACGGCTTTGAACTCAATCCCGGCAACACACAAGAAGAGCCCAAAGCCCTGAAACACAAAGCGCTGGAACGGCATACCCCGGAACCCTCAATCCTGATCCTGCGTGACATCCTGGCACGAGATTTTGGTTCGGTATTAGCCGCGCGGACTGCGTTGTGTCTGTGGGTTTAGAGCGAACCTTTGAATTGCGGGTGGAGGCTTTTCCTAATTGAGGCAAACTTGTGTTTGGAGGGTTCCGATTCTCAGAATCGTGGTACGTTGAAAAACAGCACAACGTGAACACTATTTCCATTTGAAAAGCCCAGAAATTAATCAGAAGCTAAGGCGGGTGAGTGCAGGCGGCTAAATTCTCCAGGTCCTTCCATGAGTATAAGATGTTTTTAAAGGTGTGCGTGCTGGAAAAGGGAGCCGAAAGAAAGTTGCGAATCCTCACCACAATCTTTAAGACCGAATGATCGTGCTTGAGAGGTTACACCAATCACAAGCAACTTCCAATCAGGAAATAGACCGCCAGAAGTTGCATAAATTTCGGGGGGGGGGGGCAGCTTGACCCTAAACTTGATCTGGAATCCTAACCCTGGAGACCGTCTTAAGGGCTGTCAGCCAAATGCCTCAAGGGGAGCAAACACCCCAACCCCTAAATCCCGAATGAATGATTTCAGATTCCTACCTAGACGCTAGGCTGCAATCCCCTAAACCGGAGCAGAACAGTCTTTAGCGTCACCCCAAAAAAGCCAAAATCGCCTAAAGCTCTCAAAAAATCAACTGCAAGTCACCCCCAGCTAACCGAATGCAGGCTGCCCTGAGGAAAGGTTCTGCAGCCTTAGTGAAGGCCGAAGCAGGGGATCCCGAATTTGGAGTTTATGAGTGTAGGAAGGGAGAAGTGGGGCTTGAGGTTGAGAGCTTAGGGATTTAAGGTTCTGAGGCTTACGTCAGCTTAAGGGCTTTGGATTACGGACGGCTGCGTTTTTTTCGGGCACTAGGGTGTTGATGTTGGGTTTTTGGCTCAGAGCCTCAGACGGATCTGGGGGGTTTGCAGGGCGTTGACTGGGGTTCAGAGAGCTTTAGACTTTCTTGTGTGCAAGATTTGCTTCAGGGCTGAAAAGCTTCAGTCTAAACCATACTAGTAAGACCCCCAAGCAATCTTGAACTTTAATCTTGCATTTTTATTTACTTTTTTGTTGGGCCACTAGGTTTGGCTTCAGGCGTTTCGCAGCTTCGGGAATTCATCATCCGGCTTGCATTCCTGTTACCTGCATACGCTAAAACCCTTATCCCTAAACTCCATTGATCCAGACTGCAAACCTTAAGTAAAACACCCTGAACCCCAGCCAGCCCTCACTTGCGCACGGTATCCCTCTACAAGACTCTACGCTAAGTAATTGGCCAGCTTCCTGCAGCTGCCAGGAACGCTTTAGCTACGAGACAGAGTTCCGCGGCCAAAAGCAGGCCTGCGATGTATGGCAAAGTCATGCAAAATCTGGAGGCGTTCGTGGATGTTGGAGGGTCGGGGTATGAAATTTGGGCAAGAAAGGCTTGAATTTGGTGGAATGTGTGGGAGGAGACTCGGGAGAGCTATTGGGTTATACTTTGTGGCTTGGGCTCCCTCGCCCTACATTCCCCCATGTGGCAGCCTACAAGCCCCAACCCTGAAGCGTCTGCTGGCAGCAGGCAGCACCCTGAACTCAACGACTGTTGGGTTCTGGGGTTTGTGGTCACCGCCCTCAACCCTAAGCCGCCCACTGGACCCTAAGATCTGCGGGTTGAAGGGGAGTTCTTGTAGCTTCAGGGGGGCGTAGTAATCAAGGATGCAACGTGTGTTTTGCTGAATGCTGTTACTACACCGTGCAATGCTGAGGGAATTTCGCCAAGCCTTGCTTTGAAAGCCTGCTCTCCTTAAGCCCCCTGATCGTGAGTCATTGCCCAGAAACGTACCACTACATTCAACCCCCTTTCGATCACCCGAATGGGACCCTGAGCCCCAAACCGGCCACAGGAAGGCAGCGGCGAGGCCATCCACTTGGCAGCCAGCCGCGGCAACGTGGAATTGGTAAAGCGCTTCGGCTGTCATTTGGGGTCTCAAGGCTTTGGAGGTTCCGGGGTAGGGTTGTAGAGCTTTTGGGGCCCTACTACAGTTTAGAGTTTTCAGCTGGGGTTTGGCTGGTAGGATTCGTGGGATTTGCGTTTCGGCTCGAGGCATGCTTATAGGATTTTTTAACATCGGCTTGAGCCCCCCCCCTTTAATCTTGTGGACTGATCGTTTGAGGGGGGAGTTTCGGGCTTCGGGGCGGGTTCGAGACTTCAGGCCGCCTATGGGGGTTTCTCGGGGCTTTTTTCTTTGTTGGGAGATGACTTCCAGCAGCCTCCGGTTGGGGCATGGGCACCCTTTTTTGGGGCGAGGCTTCGAAGGACAGGGTTGTAGCTCCACCCCAACTGCCAAATCACAAGGCTGCTGCTGGCCAAGAAGGCGGATTTGGAAGCTCAAGTGTCGCGTGGGGAGCTCGGTCTTCTCAAAGCCAAGGCCCAAGCTCCACTGCCAGCACTCAACGACTACATACATACACATACACAGACATGGGCACATGCATATACGTTTACATCTCTCTCTCTCTCTCTCTCTGTCTCTCTTCTCTCACACTCTCTCTGTATATATATATATATATATACCACACTCATACACATACTGGTGTGTGTGTGTGTATCATGCATTCATGGATGGATGGATGGATGGATGGATGGATGGATGGATGGATGGATGGATGGATGGATGGATGGATGGATGGATGGATGGATGGATGGATGATGAATGAATGGATGCACCGATCTGTGTGTGTGTGTATATATATATATACGTATGTATATGTAAATGTGTGTCGTTGAGGGCGAGGTCTGACTGTTGGGATTTTGAGGGCTTAGGAGGGTTTAAGATTTGTGCCTGAGCTAGCTGCCTACCGCCCGAAATCCTTCAAGCAGTTTCTCGGTCCAGACCATGAAATCCAAAACACTTCATCCAACTCCCGAAATCCGAAACCCTACATGCCAACAAATCTCCAAACTCTGAAGCTCACCCCAAACCCCAAAACCTAGCAGACCTGTTGACATCCTTGGGTACCATTTGCAGAATATGATACAATAAGATTGAGCTATACAGCTTCATTCTAGGTTGCACGCCGTCAGTGACTGATTAGGCATTCCAATCTACAGAAGTGTCTCCATTACTCAGGGTTCTTGCGTACGAGTGCAAGGCTGCTTTCATCTCCTGACCCCAAAGCCAAAAAGAACAAGACCAGGTCCCAGACTTGAAAGCTCTGCAAGGGTACAGTCCGAATCCCGGAATCCTCCGAGCCTCTACATTGGCCCAGGCGACCACAAGCCGCACTACAACGTCCTCCATGCCGCCCTCTTTGCAGAGGGCCGCGGAGGTACGAAGGACGGCCCAGGGATCCGCTCAGACGACGGCGAAGCTGAGAGTGATGGTAGGGATGATACTGAAGATGACAAAAAACTTCTTGTTAGATCCCTTCAACTTAAAACCTCCGCGAACACCAAGCAGAAACAGCACACACTTTGTTCACTCGAAAGCACTGAACCGCATACATCGCAGACGTCTTGGATTCTAACATCAGCCCGTTGAAACAGACAGAGCAGCAGCCGTTGCACTGCGGACTTGTCCAAGAAGTACTGATTGAACTAGTTCAGGCTGCTTCGTTTCAGAATTCCCGCACTTCTACCAGGTACCATTGAAGTCAAGCTACTCTCTTGAAAAGCCTTGCCCTGTCCCTTAACGCACTGCACTGCCTCCTACTCTATACTCTATGCTGCAACCCTGCCCGACCGAGCCCAAAAACCTCGAGCCTGTGAACACAGATGCTTGGGTCCAGGAGATGATCGAATATCTCTTCGACGCTCGGGCAGAGCTGAGCAGGACTCGGTCGGCGGTAGCGTGTTTTGCAGGCCTTTCAGGTGTAAGGGCATGGTTCTGCACGAAATGCTGCATCCTTTGCACGAGGGAGCTCCGAGGTAACGGAGACCCCAGGATCATAAACTTCCTTCTCGAGGCAACCCCAGAAGAAGAACTCCCCAAAGCCCCAGGCCCAAGCCGAGAAAGCCCTGAAGCCTCCAAAGCCTCCCCGCAGGAACCAGGATGGAAAGGCCCCGATCCACATCGCTTTTCAGACTGGCGCCTCGACTGGCTAACATCCCAACCCGATCTGAACACGGTTTAGGGTTTAGGGTTTAGGGTTTAGGTCTTATATCCCCATAACCGTAGCATCCCTACTGGGACCCTGACACGAAGCAGTGGGTTGTAGTTCAAGTTCCTAGGAACCCATCGGGTTGAGGGCTGAGGGCTCGTATGAAGCGGCTTTGCGACATGATGGGTCTCGATCTAGGGCTTTTGGGTCCGCAGTTCAGGACTCTACAGCAGGCTTCTATTCTCCGGCTACTACAGGGTTGTATCATTGCGTTCATAGGACAAGCTTCGGGGGTTACAGGTTTTCGCGATTAGGATTTCAGGATTAAGGGCTTCATTAAGGGCTCGGTGACGGCACGAGATTTCACTAAGGCAGCCTTCTGCGGGGTTCCAATAGTGGTGTTACGAGAAGGTTTTATGTAGTTAGGTTCAATCGCCTGCGATTTCGGTGTTACTCGTGCTTAACATGTGGGGTCGAGAGGTTGGGATGCAGGGCTTGGGGATTCAAGGGTTTGGGCATCTAAGGCTTCGGGTTGAAGGATTTGCGGAGGGACACGGGTGTGGGATCGTCAGTGGCCAGAATATAGGGCGTTCTTTTAAGGTTTACGTTGCGAGGTCTGTGGAGAATTTTGAGAGGGTCGAGTATAGTGCAGGCTTTTATGGTCACAGACATGTAGCTGCCTGAACTACCTCTCGAGGTTGAAGCGATACTGAGATGAGACCAGGGACACCAATCCTGATATCTTTTCACATGCCTGCAAGATTCAGAAAGAAGAATGTTAGTGATGTTGGGACGACGTCGGGCAAACCATCCGAAAGTCCTACACCTGTACTCATGTAGTCTCATTATAGCTGAAACCAAACTTCGACTGAACTCCCCCCAGGCGGGGGGGAGGGGATGTCAAACTGAACTTCCTAACCTGAAGGACCCGCAACCGAAACCGAACGAATCTTACCTGACTCTTGCCTGGCCGAATTTTTAAAGGCATCGTGCCCGTGATCAAGCTCGTGCGGTCCCTGATGGTGAAGAGCAAGGTGGCTTGGCAAAGCAGTTCCACCAGGGACTCTCTTTGTCTCCCCGGAAGAGTACGTCACTGTGAATAAGGACTCACGGCAGGGAACTTATTGCTGAGAACTGTCCGAAGGTGTTCGAAATTCAGGGCATTCCATAAACTCTACTTCGCGCATCGGTCTCCAGGCCGTTGTGCCCCTAATCTTCTTTTGGCAGGCTGCAATACCACAAAACCCTCGTACGATGCCGGGCTTGGGGATTTTAGGAATATTGCATTGTTGCAGGGTAGGTGATGGTAGGGATGTTGCGAGCAGAAGTGAGACAGGGGCCGGAATAGTGGGAACAGGGCTCCGGGGGTATGTCATGGTATAGCTGTTAAGGACTAGAAGCGGACCCTAGTGCTAACAGTTCAGATTCCCAAATCAGATGCAGGACAAGCCTAGTCTTGAAAGGCCAGAAGAATTCGCTGGATCCATGTTGCCATCCGCAATAAGTAAGTTTGGGTTTCAGCACCGGAAATCCTACGCATGCAAAACCCAAGATCCTGCACTGCTTCCATGAGGTCACGGACAGAGACTATGAGTTCTTCCAGGCCTGTGGTTGGAGCTTACTAAATGATTGAATAATTTAAAAATACCATAGTATGTAGCTTGAAATATAAGACATGCAATGGTTGATGACACTTTACAAGATGATACAGATGCGGGCTTTACACTTTTAAGGCTTTAGGACGTAGGGTTTGGGGCTTCGGCGGTTCACTTCTACTTGTGCAACACCATCGTCATCATCATCGTTGCCATGGCCGCTACATGTCGTCATGACCATGAGGATACATGACAAGTAACACCAGCCTTCGTCAATGCAGGAAAAATCAGTACTCTGCAAAGCAAGAAACAGCAGGAAGAAGAAGAAGAAGTCTAGCAATTAGGTAGTTGTTCGGGTTGAACAAACCTGGTCTTTGTTCCTACCGGAATTACGAGAGGACTTGCCGAAAGGCGCACATTCTCGCATCAGGACGCAGAGTAAAGCTGACCCGACGTGCTACTAATACTACCATTACTACTCCTACTACTACTACTA